GAGAACTAAAAAAAATGTTAATTTTAGTATTGAGGTATTGTGTACAGAACTTTTTACGACCTAAGTTTCCGTTTCGAACAACAATTGAAAATGCAAGCGCGGGTCGTGGACAAGCAATAAAGCAATTCAATTCGATTTAAACATTATGTACGCAGCAAAAAAGTTACAAGTGAAATTACAATCTAATGTAATTCAGCAGTAAATGTGTGAAACGAAACGTGCGAACGTTTAACTTAACTGCTGAGTTTTGAACAATTTGATAAGTTAGTCCATTGTCCGCGGGGCGAGGGGGTGTGTAGGGGGGTGGCGCTGCACTTACAGCAATGAAAGTGCTCACTCCACATTTGGCAATATTCGCTGATAATGCTCTCCCTGTGAAAGTAAAAGGCGATTTATAAAAATATATTCGCCATGTTGGCGCGACTTTCGGATTTTGACAGCAAGCGTACACCAACACCGATCAATGCCCGCCATTACTCGCTGAATATAATGACAGCTGCGACAATTACGTTCCTTTTTACATTCGCATTAATTTTAATTAATCATTAATTTTTTTATGTCCTTACAGACACCGTAATTATTTCACGATATAATTAAATTACGAAAAGAGAAACCGATTAATTCTTGCTTCTTATAATTTAGTTATTTTGAATTACATGTTGTATTTCTCATTTATAATCAAGATAACAAAGATTGCATTTTAACTGTGTGAGCACAATGAAAGCAGTTACTTTTTTCCCCACGTGTCCGAGTTGTCGATGTCGTCTCGTCCCGGTGATGTTGCTCGCGGCTGGGAGCAGGTTTGTAACTGTACAGAACGCGACCGCCACCGCAGCACGACGCCTTTTGAGGACTTCTCCGTAACCACTGCACCGATCTTTATCACTGTCGATACAAAGTAACACAACTTTGACATTATCACGCAGAGAGGCTTAAAGATTTCACAAGTTTGAATGCATTATAAATGTAAGAAAGTGTAACAAAAATTATTAAAAAATGTATTTCCAGCGCTTTTGTTTTATTTCGCACCGATTTATATTTTTTTTTGTTAACATATTTCAAATAAATGCCTGAGGCGCCTGTTATAACAATTTTTTCCACTTTCTCTTTAATTTCGTTTATTTCTTGGAAACAAAAGTGATTCACAGAAGGATTTGAACATTGACTAACAGCAGCGCTCGCACGTGATTTCTTGTTTCGCAATGAATTGTACAAATGACGCTTGTCACTAGTTTTTAACATATTTATATATAAAGTGTACATATAGTATCGACGTACCAATTTGACGCATCGAAGATATTTTTCTGCTCGCTGGTGATAAAGCTGATGTAATGCAATTTTGAGTAATATAGTTTTGCGTCGACCGAAGACGCGATGATAATCCAGAAAATCGCCGAAGAAAGTTATTTGTGATGTTTACGTGACGCCGATGAGTTGTATCCGCTTCCGATGTGAACAAAAAGCGAACTGAGGTCAATTTTTCCGCGCGGGGTGTGAGGTCGCGAACAGATCTTTAGCTTTCTTATATCTAAATAAGGTAAAGATTTATTTAAAAAAAAATAGTTTGCTATTTATGTGACAAAGTGACTTTTGGTCTACAGATGCAAAAAATAAATAATAACATAACACTTTTACAATCAAATTAATATTTTATTTTATTCATTTGCTTTACATGTAATTATGTAAGCGGCAAGCATTTAAAGTTAATTAATGCATTACACTCGAGCAATTATTGACATCTCAAACATCATTTGTGTCGGCTGGGGACGACGGTCCTTGCATTATGTTATGTGATAATATCATAAATTATTTCCTCTTTATATTTTTTAATCGTTTACTTAGAACAGGACAAGATGTTATGATGTGGTATAAGAAAATGAACAGAGTGTGTGCATGTGTCGCAGTGTGTACCAACAGCTTGTGTGACTGACTGAGTCACTGTACACTGCTCACAGCGTGCTTGTTGTGTCAGCTGGTGCTTCGCAAACACAACCTTCTTGACTCATGCACCACCTCCGCCGCCGCCTCACCATCTCAGCCTCTATCTGAGACCCGCAACTTATCGCCGCATATCTGCTTATACACATTCAGTTAAACGCAGTTCAACAGTTTTCGAACTTAATATATGTAGAAATAGCGTTAGTTGCAAAATTTATATTACATTATTTTTAGTATATCTTTTTTTTAGCATATGTCTAATTATTTTTTTAACGAAACAAATAACAAAAACTTACGACCACTACTACTCATAGTTGAAATAATCACCGTATTTAAAATAAAATACAATATCTGAATAGCGCCATCTAGTTATAAAAAGGATATTTTAGAAAAGCAGAGCAATCATATCAAATGACACAAGATGTTCTAACGAAATGAATATTAATATTATAATGGGTTATGATAAAATGATGTTTTCAAAGTATCTTATAAGCAATGTTAACTGAATTATATTATTTTGAATGTTAACACTTGAAAAATAGAGAAGCGCCATCTATGAACGACTTTTGAAACTAAAACCAGTCCTTTTTTTTTTACTTTAAATCCTAGTTTAATAATTTTCGCTATATCCAAAAGATGTCGTAAAAGTGAAAAGAACTGAAACAAGAAATTTAAATTACGTTCAAAATGTATAAAACTACTCCTTTGTCACTAAATACATAACATTAACTTGTAAAAATAAAAATTTAGTTCTAATGTAAGCAGCGACATCAGACGATGAAACTGGATGGCTGATGTGTCACTGTATTTTGTTACGAAACTAGGTAAGTATATAATAAAGCGTGAAATGGCATTGAATGCGATTTCTTAATTTAGATAATTATTGTAATGAATTACAACTATACAGTAAACATTTTAGAGGCCAAAGATTTTTTCAACACAACAAATTATCAATGTCTTGTTTAGTTACCTGCATATTTTGATATTAACATGTTCAGACATTTTATGAATTCGTAGGATCGCTGTGATGTAAATGTACAATAATCATGTATAAAACGAGAAAGTTTCCTTGTTGTTAGTTCCGCTTGTGTTGCGCTTAATCTGCTCGAACTCGTTGTTAGAGGTGGTGCTGACAATCTTCTGGCTGATTATTTACCTGGAGCTATAGTTCTCTGCGTACTAGATGTTTGCGGAATCAGTGGTAGAAGCATTCTTGCAGGCGGCAAATGCGAGTTCAAGCAGTTACAATATTGTTCTGTAATTTTTAAACAATAGTACTGACAATCATTTACTTTAATTTCTAGTTCTTAATATATTTTTCAGGCTGTATTAGTTTCAGCGATCAGTGCCAGTGTCAGGCCGGCGGCGGGCGGGGGAGGGGGAGGGGGTCACAAACAGCCCCACAGCCCCGCGTGCTAATCAATTTGTGGAGCCTTGACACCTCGCTTGCCCAATGTTCTGTTTCTTCTGGCGTTTTCTTTGGACACAAAAGAAAAAAAACAAGTGTAGGTGCGCGTTAAGCCTTTCCATTCCTCAATGAAATATAGAGCGGTACAACGCACTTCTCATGTATCTGTTTAAATGAAAATTTTACTTATGACATCGAATGTATGAAAAGCATCTTAGATACTTTTTCCCTTACTAAAAACCGGGCGACTCTGTGCCACCACCACTACTTATATATAATATATGCCGAAAGATAAACAAAATAATGAAATAGTAACAATATGACATATAAAATATATGCATGAATGACAGAGTATAAAAGTGTTATACGTCTGTAACAACATCTGTTACACGAATGAGCCGAGCGTCCGGTGCAATACCAACCAATATCACTACTCAATACTACATGAATTACTTATGTTTCAGACACGTGATTCTGCGTTGTCAGACTGTTGTGTGTGCGTTTCGTAAGACTAATCTTAGTCCTATTTCTCTTCCTACCATTTTATAACCTTTGCTTTTGAAAACTAGTTTTGAAAGTCAAGTTATAAAGAAAATATTTCAATATCTGTGTAACGATTTTGTTTGCAAATCATAACAAAATAAAAATAAAATAACCACATCACCGTATAATGAGGGCAATGACAGAGACCTGAGTTACGGAAATTAATTAAAAGTGATATTGAAATAAGCTTGCGTTCATTTATTGTTACGCGGAGAACGTTAATGATTAAATAGGCTTCAAATGTAGGTCGCTGCAGCATGACCAGTGCTGCCAGCTTGCAACCTACGTAACTACCTTCTACTTTACTTATTCTTCTCTTTTGAAAATTTAAAATATAATACATTAAACGCTTAGTAATTTCTCAATCATAACTACTTACCATGAAAGTGTTGTATGAAAATTTAGTTTTAATATTTAACTTTAATTCCTCTCCTTTACATACAAGGAATATGTATGGACAGATGGATACGGTATGTGCACACCGACAATGCGCTGTTCTGCTGCACACAGCTGCTGCCACAAACCTGGACTGGACTGTGTGTGTATGCAAGTCCAACTCACCTACTTACGTAGAAGTCGATCATCTGTTGTACACATTATATAAGAACTTGTGTTTTCTTTGTATGTTTAAGAAATATGCCAATTTGCTTATTCAATAAAACTTTATTTGTTCAAAGACTTAGCAGGTTGTCGTAAAAGAAAAATACTTATTTTAAGCAATTTTTATAATGTTATTGTTAACTAAAACAAAAAAAAGGCAAAGTAAGTCATCAAGACAATTAGAACAAGCTTAAGTTCGGTGTTCGATCTTTCGTTTTATTGCAAAGTTCTCAAGGCCATGTTTAACTCCTACATCAGATGAGCATGACATGGTGTCACCATAAAATTGCATTTTACTATATTTAATTGGTAATCGGTAAGTGGATCAAATTTAATTTGCAAGATTTGGTGACAAACATCGGGACTGCTGTAATTTCTGATGTAATACTTTAACCATCTTTATTGTTATCTCGACGAAGGTAAACCACGCCTAAACAAAAGCTTGGCTAAATATATTGAAAATGCAAAATGTTCAGACTGAAATATCATAATATAAATAATTCGGCGCGCGATGAAGCGTGACGGTTTGGGCAACTGGCAGCCGGACAAAACTGCGCGTGCGCCGCTCCCGCGTGACACTCGCTGCGCCATGCCGCGGCCGCCGCTGCTGCCTCTGCTGCTGCTGCTGCTGCCCGCGCTCCTGCCCGCGCTCGCGCAGGACACCGACGACTCCGCTATCAACGCCACCGTTGTTGACGTCAGCAACGGGACATCGGTTATATTGATCGCCAGCAATGACACGCTTCTTGATGCTGCCAACGAGACCCTCGCAGACGGCGACCACGAGCCCGTCGTGAGGAAGAAACGTACCTTCGGAGATATAGTGTTCAGAGGATTGGCCGATGTTTTGGGATACAGTGTCGCGAGAAAACCCCAAGAAGTGGCTTTCCCGCCGCCGCTCGCTCCCGTCCCCGGAATAGACTTGCCGCTGCAGGCTGCCACGCCCGCGCCGGCTCCGGCGCCCGCGCCCGCTACAGCACCCTGCGGCACGCCCAGGGCCGCAGCGCCTCCGCCCTGTCGTGCCCAGGCACCAACCACCGCGGCCCCCCGCCCCAGGGCGGCACCGCCGTGCCCAAAGCCCCGGGCGGCTCCGAGACGCAGGCCCCGGCCTCGGCCGTCGCCGCCGCCACCTCCGCCGCCTTCGCCGCCACCCTGTGCCCAGCCCCGCGCCAACCCATCGACCGCGGCGCCCTGCGCACCCGCCACCACACCGGCTCCGCGCCCTTCTGCACCGAAAGCCGATAATCTAGAAACTATTACCTCTAACTTCCGTTTGCATTTCAATTTCAACAGAGCCCCGGCCGGGGCTGCCGCCGTCTCCGCGCCCGCGGATGAACAGACCGAGGAACAGGAACTGGAACAAGAACAAGAGCAGGAGCAGGTTGCGCCGGTCGCCATCGAGCCGCGCGCCGCCCGCCTGCCGCCGGCACAGGCGAGGAAGCCCCGGGTCTACGTCGACGCGTTTGTCGTCCGAAACGGAGTCCCTCAGAAAGTGGATGCCCTCGACGCCCAACACCTGAACGCGCAACGGCTACCTCTCGAAGATGAGTACCTTGTATACGATTACGAGGAACTGCAACAACTGCCTGACGATGACTACGAAGACGTGCAGGAGTCTCGCGACAGAACCAAGGCCGTGAGCGACTTCAGCGACGCCGTCGACAAGTTTTGGGAACCGAAAAAACGGGGCAAGAAGAAGCTGCCGGCGAACGACTATCGCAACGTACACTTTGGCGACCGCGGCCTTGCCGATCTGATCCGGAGACGTGACGATGACGAATCGCATCAGAGCCTTAAACGGGAGCGACCGAGGGCGAAGCCAAAAACGTCTCCCCCGGCGGAGGCCGAGGCCGAGGAGGAGGCAGAATCCACCACGACCACCGAGGACCCGAAGCGTCCGCTGAGGCCGCGGGTGCTTCCGCCCACTGAGCACAACCCCGGACAGATCGACACCGTCACTGTGCGAGTGCCACCCATTTACAAAGAGAGACGCCCGAAAAAATTGAACCGCGAGAGACCGCAGCATGACGAGTACCTGGACCACAGGGACCACTACGAGGAAAGAGCCGCGCGCGACAGGTCCACGGAACACGACGAGGACGCCGACGCCGATACTGAGGGCGAAGACAGTGCGTGGACCGAGCGCACCCAGCGTCCCGCCCGGCGGAAACGTCGCAAGCAGCGCCGGGACAAACGCGCGGCCCGCGAAGAACCCTATACCGCTGGGGACTACGATTACTACGGAAACAAACTTTCAATTTCTGACGAAGAAAAGTTTTTTAGAGGGCTAACAGTTCCTCCGCCGACGAAATACGCCGAGTTCGCTCGCCTGGAGGAAGGGCCGGAAACGGGATACTTTTTAGATGATCACGAAAGAATTCGAGAGGATCCGGAAAGGGTCGCGGAAGACGAAAGATCGGGCGACAGGTATCGGGCTGACAGCTCCGAGCGCGCCGACGATTCGGGGGCGACCGACGACAAAGAGCGCTCGGACGAGGCGCGGGAGGCGGAGAGCGCGGAGGAGACTGGACGCGCCGATGACAGCGGGCGCGCCGACGAGCGCGAGCGCACCGACCGGCTGGGCCCCAACGCGCGCGTACACGAGACCGGCTTCCAGAACAACTACGTACGCGCCACCAACGTTCAGGTCGACGACCCACACCCGCACGTCGCTTCCGTCAAGAAGAAAACCACCAAGATCGGCAAGGCGTGATCCGCTCCGTCCTCGCCCCGCTCCATGTCCCGCGAGCATCCGCCATACACATTATTTATTTCACTTCTCACCCCCAGGGACGCAGGTACTTATACAAAGTCTGTACCTCCTCACTTGGGCACGAGCGCGCCGGTCGTGGAGCACCGGTGTTGCCTCGCTCGCCTGTCATGTTTTAGTTATAATGTATTTAGTTAGGTCAGGTCGTACGCGCCGAGAAAGTATTCATATTTTTATACTTTAGTCTAAGAATATTGTATTTAAGTTTCTTAATAAAGCGTTTCGTAAAACTCTGGTTTCATTATTAGTTTTAGCGCGGCTTCGAATCGATGGCCGGCGACGCGTGAAATTCGATTTGACATCGAGCAATGACAGCGTCTGTCCGCAACTGGGTGAAGGTCTGCACGTTGTATTGAAATCAGAGCTGTGCGGCCGCTGCGCCGCTTGCTGCTGACTGTACGCTACCCACTGCCGACTGCCGACTGGCCGCTGACTGCGGCTACTGCAAGAACTGCTGCGCTCGGCGACATCCTCAACTGTCGAGGAGTTTACTTTGTCTTTTAATCACTCAGTTAATTTGATATGGTTAGTTGAGTGAATATTTTAATAAAATCCTCAATCTTATAAGTCATTTGGTAGATTGTGAGATCTCTTAACCGAACTATTTTAACGTGATAATAAAACCATAGCACAACCAAAAGATTTACAACAGAGAAACTGTTTCATTTCTGTATGAAAAGAAATTAAATTTGGTTTAATGTTTTTTTTTTATTTTGGACCTAATTTCTACGTAGCTTTGAGATCGCAGCGAATCGTCTGCAGACTGCAGGCCACCAGGGTGGCAATGTAAAGCCGACAACAAGAGTTTCTTGCGTCGCTGGCGACACATTTAAGTAGGTTTCTTTTAATTCATTCTTTCGAATCGATGCACAAAAATTAAGTAAACAAACATTAATCCTACGTATCTGCGCTTGTTACAAATCAATGATAATACTTAGCTAGGTTTAGCTAACTTAGCTAAGGAGTCAAATCTTTAATTATGCTATGTTACCGTGACACGTGAAGAAATGAAATCACATTGAAAGACTTCAACGCGTGCGCGTGGAGCTGTCGCAACCCCCCCGACCCCCGCCCCCGCCCTCCCGCTCCCCTCACCACTATCAATGTCCATAGATAAATTACAGCTGTCGTAAACAAATGCAGCTTTCTCAATAGTTGCTTCTACAACATCTCTGTGCAACAACAGACAAAATAAAAACCCACTAAAGTAAAAGTTGGACCGACTGAAATGAATCAATAGTAAAGGCAAATCGTCTTATCGAACTAATAAAAAACAATTGTCCTACTTCGGTTCGTAAACAGAATTAAAAACATTAGATGTTAAAATAAATACCTACCTATTTTAATGTTTACAAGTTAAACAGAAGTGTTATAAGTTATGTTCAAATCTCAGTATCATTAATCTCAAGTATATCGTGATATGACATAGTATCGTTATTTTTTCACATGAAGGTCGAGTCAGAGATATCTGGAGCAACAAACCAAGCTACAAGTAGGGCGCGTACTGACATATCGCAACGACTGTTCACACGATCACACAAGCAACGCCTGGCGCAGCGCCAAGCTACGGCGGCCAGTAGGGCAGAAGTAGACTGCAGCGAAGTAGGCTGCGTCTGTTCTGGAGTTCACGTCACGTCACATCATTACAAACTCCTGCAGTCGTCATGGTGTTTACATAAGCAACTTATTTAAGGCGATTTATATTCATCAAAGAAAACCTCTCATCTGTTTGTTACGAGCTAATCCTTTGTAATCCCCGAGCAAACATCATCTACGCATATATACAGTAGTGCAATGTCAAACAACAAATATTAATATACCTCTAGGAGAGGACGGAGTATGAATAACAAATACTTTCACTGTTACTCGCAATATGGTCAGCACGTAAAGCGACACGCACACGACCCGCGCACTACAATGTCACGGATCTGCGCGATGCCGGGTGAGACTTCCAGTGACCCCTTTATCATTAATGAAGTGGTCCATGCTGGGGATAACATCTAACCCATATCAACTAAAGACATTGACGTCGACACATATGGTGCATTATTGAATTCTTAAACAACAAAGCGCACTTCTTACGTAAGCATGTATCATGGTGTTAACGTAACGACTTTTTAAAAATCAACTGATCAGAAAGTAAAGTTAGGTTGTAATTCCCAGCGACAGTGCAGGGCTTGCGACACTGCGGCCCGCAGTTCCTCGGCCGACGGCTACAGCACCGCGCCCCGCGCGTGACCGCACTGCAGACGCACGTGCACCGACCATAACGCGATGGCAAACATATCGTAGAAAACAATCAATAATATGCATTATACAATTGACCTTGTCCTTATACCAACATTTTGCACACACAGATGCTCCACGTCCTGATGTACATATGTGTGTGTGGTGTAGGCAGTAAAGTATCCAGTATTATACTAACATTTCAGATGATTTGGAAAACATAAAGGTTTAGTGGCGGCGTGTCGTTCGGGACAGAGCAACGATAGTGAGAGCGGACGAAAGTGCCGGTATATTTGGTAACCGCGCGCCCCGCGCATGTCGATGTCATGTCGCAGGGACGGACTCACTCACCCGCTATTATCTAGTCACGTACCTGTATAGACAACACGGAATACATCAAAATTTTCACATATATAATTATACCAAAGTAGGTAAATATAAATATTCAGAATGGAACCAATTTTCTTTACGTTTGGAATAGATAAAACATGAAGTTTGATGAGCTAATACCTTTTTTTAGTATAAAACATAAATTTATCGACCCGATTACTGCTGTGTATACTTAAATATTGCCATTTTAAAAGAGGCCTCACTGAATATTAGGCTATTAAAATGCAAAACGACTTACAAAAAAAAAGGCAAACTGACGATTTCGACCTTCATTTTCGTGCACCGATTTTTAGCCGACTTCAAAAAGAAGAAGGTTATGTATTCACCTAATAATAAATCAATGGACTCAAAAAAATCGCAATAAAATCTCAATATTCACAAAGAAATTTCTTTCAGAATGTTTTAGTTGCCGATCAGGTGTAATTTATAAAATTTTAATTGTACATAAATTGAATACGGCCCTGTCGCAATTGGTACAATTTTCACTCGATTACGTTTCTTAATCGATCGGTATGCATTGTTACGTGCGGGTTACGGGAGTGACGGCAGCGTCCACGTGCACCCGCCGCTCCGCCCGCCGCTTCGCCCGCCGCCACCGCACTACCTAATGCGTGCTCTATTGCAACGGCATACGACTCACTTTTGTTGTTGCAAATGTCGGTTCAATTACTTTGATAGAGGCATACATTTAGGCATCGTGGAAAGCCGCGGAAGAGTGCGGGCCGCGACGGCGGCGTCCGGCCGCAGCCGGGTGAAACTCGGACGCCGGCTACATACTAATGTGACATCTTCAATGTTATAAGTAGAGGTACGCACCCTCTGAGCTTCTGGTTTCTGAATGAGCGTCGCGCCGACCGGCCGGCCGCCGACATGAAGTACACTGCAGTAAGTATCGTGTGGTGCGGTGCAGTTCATGCAGTGAACTCCTCAGTGATCCGATGTGCGGTAGCGGTACTCTGGTACTAAAGATCGTGGTGTATTTCAGATCGCGCTAGTGCTGTGCACCTGCCTGTGCGCCGCACACGGGGACCTCGTGCACCTGAAGGCGGCCAAGGCAAAGCTGCTGGGGAGTCTGGTGGACAAGGCCAGGCACCACAAGCGCGGTGTCCTCACCGCTGTGCCGCCATTTAAGTTAGGATACGATATTCCCCGGGTATCTCACTCCGTCGTTAAGCCGTTGGTGGTGACCTACCCTCCGACGGCCGCCGTCGCCACAATCAAGGTCCCGCTCACTAACCCGGTGGTGCCACGGTACCCGCTATCCCTCGGTCACAGGGTGCCAGTTGCGCACCCTCATTACGGCATTAAATTCCCTCATTCGACAAAATCTGTGGTAGTGTCGAAGCCGGACCATCATTTCCATCATCATCACCATCACGTGTCCCCGAGGCCAGTGGTGCCGGTGGTCCCGGTGGCTCCGGCTCCCGCCCCTGTACCGGTACCGGTCCCCGCTCCCGCCCCAGTTCCCGTTCCGGTTCCGGCGCCCGCCCCATTGCCGGTGCCGGCTGCACTCCCGGCGGCGCCTTTCGTCCCGATAGCCCAGCCCACCGCTACCATAGGTCATGCGGCGACACCGGTTCTAATTCATCCGGCGCCGGCTCTCCCCGTGCCGCCGGCGCCCGTTGCCCCACCACCAATTCACATACTTCCTCCTAATCATCTTCATCTAAAACCTTTGCTTACCGCAGCTGCCCCGCAGCTGTCTCCCTCCCCCCTGTTTCAATATGCGCACCAATTCCCATACGTGTTACGGCATGGCGGGGCGGTGCAGACTTCAGTGTTTGCCACCTACCCCAGGTATCCTTTCTTTAATTATCAGTCTCCCCTCTTACCTTTAGCGCCAGCGGCGACGGGTGTTCAAGGTGTTGGGCAAGTATTGTTAAATAGACCCCAAGTTTTGCTAGAGAGACCTCAAGTTCTATTGGAAAGACCTCAAGTTCCCCAGTTCCACTTGCTACCCCAGGGTGGCGTAGTACAACACTCCACAAATGTCGCGGTTGCTCCGTCGCCCGCCTTACTGCATCCCGCGCAACCGGCCCTGCCCGCCCCAGCCTTGCAGCTGCAGCCGGCCCTTCCTCAACCTGCAGTTCACCTGCAGCCCACTCAGCCGTCGACCACTTTAGACCACGAAGGCTGGTCGCCCGTTACTCCGCAGGCTCATGACTTTAGTCCGACTCACACTCCGGAAGCGCATTTTGCGCAACCCCAAACCCACCCCCAGTTTACACAGGAGCAGGGGACTCAAGTGTACGAGCAGCACACGGGTGACGGCCAGTACAGTGATCTGCATGACCAGTTGCAGCACCACATCCAGCAGCAACTGGAACAGGCGCAGTACGGGCAGCATCAGCTCCACCACCAGTACGCCTCGCCGCAGCCCGGACACGAGTACGGCGTGCCCAATCGAGACTTCCCACAACAAAACACCGACTACTCGTATCACGGCCAAGAGTACGCGCCCCACGATCAGCAATACATCCCCAATGACCAGCAATATATTCACAACGACCAGCAATTTCTCCAACACGGGCAGCAGTTTGGGCACAACGATCAACAATTTATTCCGCAGGATCAGCAATATGCTCAGCACTACCAACAGTTTGGCCAAAACGACCAACAATTTGGACAACATGACCAACAGTTCGGCCCGAACGATCAACAGTTCGGCCAGAGCGATCAACAATTCGGGCAACACGACCAACAGTTCAGCCAGAACGACCAGCAATTTACGCAACATGATCAACAATATGGTCAACACGATCAGCAATTCGCTCAACATGACCAACAATTCGGGCAACACGACCAGCAATTCGCGCAACACGATCAACAATTCGCGCAACACGATCAACAATTCGCGCAACACGATCAACAATTCGCGCAACACGACCAACAGTTTACCCAGCAGGGCCACGAGTATCAGGTGGGTCAGCAGCCGGCGGCAGAATACGGGCTGCCGCAGCAGGGCTTGGAGGGCCGTGACGACGAGGGCCAGCAGCCCAGCCAGCAGTTCCATAACCACATTCCGCTCGGCCTGCAGCCCCCCATCAACGAGCCCCTCGACCACTTCCGGTAGAGCCGCCTAAGCCGGCATTGTTTGATATCATGGCAATGCGCTGGCCCTTGCTAGTTGTATACCTGGCCATTGCGAGTGTAAAACATTTGCTGAAAGTGATAAAATGTCGACAAAATAATTGTTTGTGAATGTGTGAGCGTTGAGAGTGTGCCACGTTTTGTATAAATATTGCCTAATAATACTAATTACTTGGATATTTAATTAACATAGTTTTAGAACTAATTATTTATATATTTTTTTTAATAAAACAATTAAAAAAAGAGCTTTGTATAATTTAATTAACTTCAAAATAGTAAAAATAACTAAATACAGTAAAATAGAAGTATTCATTGATAATCTAAATTAGTGTTCGAAGCTAGAAATCGATATTAATTTGAGGCAAAGTTTCTTTCTGACACGCAAGGTTTGCCCCTAACTAAAAAATAAACACATAACACTTACGGAAACATTGCTAGCAGAAATATGTAGGCGCTTAACAATTATTCATGAAATATCATTTGACATTGGAACTGCATTGTAGGTTGCGTTATTTTTAAACCTAAGTACTAAGTTGAACATTAGTGATCCTGGATTATCCTTGACGCCAGAATTTGCGTTGTCGTTGACTTTTTTAAAGTACTTTGCTTGCTTTGTTCACTTATATCTGGACTTACTTTTTCACTTTTTGTATACTCTATATATTTACTAGAAAATCGCGCAGCTATTGGAATAATTAATTTAATAAATAAATGTAACGCCTGTGAATTAATTCAAAGCAAAATTTGTTACTTCCTTTCTTATCAAGTATCTACTTAGTATTGTAATGTAGGAAGAACACGATTGTATGTATGCGGACTGGATGGACACACTGGCCACTGAGAACTACATTGTGCAACGAATGCGCCGCTGCAATGTGATACATCACCTCACCTCACATGATATCAGGTAACACTCAGGAAGTGATCCCTGATTGACAATTCCGTAATAATGTCATTAAAATGTTGGAATCTAATGTATCAACACAAACACGAAATCTCGATGAACTTTTATAATATCTCAGAGTATGATCACAACTTCATAAAATATTTGATAACGCGGTTTGGTTTACATGTAACGCAGTTGTTTGTTTATTTTGAAATCGTGGGTTTCTGATTCCAAAATCTCTTTTTAAAACATACTACTAGCTCTTTTTTGTTAAAGATAATGACATGGATGACGATACATCTTATACACAGATTTTGATGTTAGAAAACCATGGTAATTGGGGTATCCGAATAATATTTAAAAAAAGGTTTATATGTATAACATTGGTTTGACGTTTGTTTCTCGCTTGAAAACTACAGCCCATGTAATATACTCGTACAAATCTTTGAAGTTAGATATTGTATAGCAAAATTTACATAAAGTACACGCAAAATACTTGTAAACTTATTTACAAAACAAAACAGGTCTGAGCTCCGCACGAGTTTGGAAATTAACCACTTTTTAAATAAGTCGCAAAAGTTGAAATACCTTAATGAACAGTCGCAAAAATTGTGAAACATACTTTATCTGCTACTGATTTAAGTGTTATTTCAAAATATGCTAAAATAATGCGATCAACTTGCAACCAAATTAATTCTTTTTAATTTAAATAACATTATATGTATGTATGTATGTCTTAGGATGAGAAAGATAATATTTACAGTTAGATCTCACACACACACACACACACACTATGCATTATGTATGTATATCAGCGTACGTCATAGAGCGAGCGTACTCATACAGCGTGTCATTGATTCATGTTTAAGTTTCAAAATAAAACATAGCAGCGAGCTTTGACTTCTTAATCAATGAGCCAAGCCTACACACAGCTCACAGAACTGACTGCGATACCTTTGTTGATTACTATGTTAATTGTTTGTTATAATTTGTATAACTGCTGTCACAAATGCAAACGAATTTTATTACTTTAGGTTAATAAGTAATTCTTATATCACTTTTCCACAAAGAGAGAAGCCGCGAGGTATTAAATTATATCAATGACTTAGTATAAACTAGGAATATTCCTCATGTTCGTTCTGCACCTGCACTTACACAGGTTATTTGTTTTTATTTTCCCGAAACACCTTACGCAACAAATTTTGTAAACATTTTAATTAATTCTGTAGGATTTTAAAAATATGGAATATGATTATGATGAATTGAGGCAAAACAAGTCGCCGCGTATAATTGCAATACGATATAATCCTACTTTCACAGCGCAGTGTCCGCGTGCTCTTGTTAAAAAGTATTTCACAAGCGGCTTGCATTTACTTGAGTGTTGCGGCATTATTTATAGTAATTATCAAACAGATCAGCCGCGGCGGCCGCCGGGGCAGCGGCCGGGGGCGTGTTCCCCTCACCACACCTCGCCTCGTCTCGTGTCGTGTACTCACCGCACTGCATATGACATTATGGGCACCAATTTACTAAATTCAATATGTATATAATAAGTATATCAAAGCGACTGTTCGTTGCAATTTTATCGCAAATTAACAGAACACAAAGTGTTGCGCAATCAGTTTATAAACCTTAATTTAATGTTTTAACCAACAATTTAACTTTCATAATTCTTCAACGTAATCGGTTTAAATGATAAATATAAACATATCACAACATATAACATATATTTATGTACAGATAAAGAATTATGCAAGTTTCAAGTTTCAAGCGTAAAATATATTAAAATTCGCTTCTCACCATCTTACCTACTTGAGTCCAAGTTAATGAAGTTTATTCAAATATTGTTTATTTAAGTTATGATGATCGTCAATTTATCGTCGCCTCAGATAGAAAAATTGTCAGAAAGTGTTGCGTAGCGCCTACTACATCCGTTTAGCAATAATATACACGATGCAAAACTTTGACAAACTCTAACCACTCATCGCACTCAGAGATACTCGTATAGATAATAGTGTACTTAATAACTTATACTCGTACATCTGAGAGAATTATTTTATTAAATCTGCAAACTCTTATTTTAAATTTGATATTTTTAAACTCTGCATCAAAAATATGTTGTTTATAAAGGATGTTGTTGAAGGACATCTTACCACCCAATACATTCAAATAAAGATGAATACACAATCTTATTTTATATTATATTATTTACTATTATAAATGCGAATGTAAAGATGGTTGGATGGATGTTCGTTTGAAGGTATCTCCGGAACAGCTGCATGTATATCACTTTAATTTGGCATATACGTAGAATATAGTCTAAAAGAACACATAGGTAGTTATTAAGTTTTTTTCAATCCGTGCAGACGCAGTCGCGGGCGACAGATAGTAATGTGTGAATATAAAGGAAATAAAAAGGTAGAATATAGGTCTTTGCAATGAACTGCATAAAGATAAAGAGACTACAAAAAATCTCATCATCAAAAAAATAAACGAAGTAACTACTGACTAAAACAATGTCTACCACTGTACACACACAGTTGTACCATTTCATACGTTCTTACATTATTATAGTGTTTTTAATAATGTAACTTGACTTAACTGCGTGAAGGTGCTGTTTGTTATGAAAACAATTTCATTCGAGCCTTGTGTCATTGAGTTAATGAAAGGTGTAGCATCCACCCCGACGCTGCCACCCGCCGCGAAGAGGGGCTGCGCGCCCGCTTGCGACTGCCGGCGTATATAAGCTGCGCGAGCGCCGACTCTGCATCCAGTGTCCTGCTCACCCCGGCACAGCAATACCTACTCCTGCAACATGAAGGCTATCGTAAGTCAACTATTGTTCATTGTCTTACATCATACAACTACCATTCAACTACATTCTCCTGACTCATTCGGATTGTATGAGAGCTTTTCTATCGATACCTAATAATACCTTTTTTCTATTTCCAGGTGTGTTTGTTAGTCCTGGTCGCCGCAGTGTACGGCGCAGAAGAGGAGAAGAAGAATGAGAAGCGCGGTCTACTTGGCCTTGGCTATGGAGGTCACAGCATAGGCTACGGAGGCTACAATCTCGGCTACGGGGGCCATAGCCTCGGTTACGGGGGTCAGGGTCTCGGGTACGGAGGCTACAGCGGACACGTAGTCTCGGCTCCCGT